CTTGGTGCTGAACCGCTTGCCCGCCGTCGCGCCGGGAGCCATGGCTGCGCCGGCACTGGCGGCGGCCTTCGCCTCGTGGCTGCTGGCCGTCCTCTGGGGTAGGTGCTCCCCCCGTGGCCGGGAAAGGGCGAGGGAGGGGTGGCCGGGAGGAGGGCAAGCGAAACCCCCCCCCGTCCGTGGCTAACCGCCGCTTGGTTGGTCTCCCCAGGGGCGCCTTGGGAGCCGGGTGGCCACGGCGAGGGTTTTGACGGCAAAAGAGGGTCCGGGTTGGAAGCCAGGGAGAGGGGAAAGTGCGAACATGGAGGTCGCTTGTGGGGATCATGTGAGGCCCCACGTGAATGCTCTCCTGGGAACTATTGAGGCGATGGAGAATTAATTGGGATCGATGTTCATCCTGCTGCGCCCTCCCCACGCCTTGGGAGCGGGGTGGCCTCGGCGAGGGTTTGGACGGCAAAAGAGGGTCCGGGTTGGAAGCCAGGGAGAGGGGAAAGTGCGAACATGGAGGTCGCTTGTGGGGATCATGTGAGGCCCCACGTGAATGCTCTCCTGGGAACTATTGAGGCGATGGAGAATTAATTGGGATCGATGTTCATCCTGCTGCGCCCTCCCCAGCCCCCCCCCCAACCCGGAGCAGAGAATTGCCTGTGGAGCGGGGCGGGGGGGGGATGCGAGCAGACGCCCTTTGTTTCCTTTGCCGAGTCTCCTCCTCGCCAGCCAGGAAGGGGAGTTGGCTGGGCAACGGACAGCCCTGGCCACCGCCTCCCACCACTACTTTAATGTTTGTTTCCTTAAAAAATAGTCATTAAAATTATTTAAACCAAAACCAAGCAGATGCACTCGGGAGCATTATGCTAGTTGTGCATGCCCTCTTAATTCTTTGGAGGACTTCTGCATGCATCGGGTATTGAAGGCAGCCAGAGCAACTAATAGGTTTGTCTACGCTGAAGGAGAAGTCTTGCTTTAGAACAGCAGCAGCAGCACCGCCGTTCAGTGTCTGCTAGCGTTGCCCTCCGAGTCCTCTGGGCTGTGAGGGGCTGATCAGCGAGCATCCTGTGATCTGTCCTTGGTAGTACCACCCATTGAAGACAACAGAGCAACTAGGCAAAGAGAGTGGAGGTCAGGCATGCTGTGGGGAAAGGGTTGGTAGGTGAACATGCTTGTGAGGGTCTAATGCTGTTGCCAACCCAACTGATGCCCATTTCAGGATGGGAGGGTTGGACAACCACCTTCAGCTGGTTCTGGTAGTTTCTGAGCACTGAGGCATGGAGACATTTTAACCGTTGGCACTTGAGGTCTGCCCTTTTTCTTTGAAAACCCCTAGGCTGTGTGTAAAAAGTCTTCAAATGGTGCTTTTTATGGCTACATTTCATTCACAGAATTTGTCTGTGTGAAGAAATAAAAAAAGCAGGACACAGGGGTTCTTCTAGAGTCTGATGCCCTTCATTGTAAATGAAAGCCTAGAGCAACGTGCCAGCCTCTTAGCTTAGGAAACCTGGGATATTATTCTTCAGCATCGTGTACTGGGAATACAGTTGGCAAGGTTTCCATACCAGACAATATCTGATCCCTTTAAATGTCAGCCTCAAAGGCTGTAATCAGTGTTTTCTGTATGCTTGATGCTTATTTTTGACCAAACAAAATAGTCATTCAAAATGTTGAACATTGTCCACATTCAAAATCTTGGGACCGGTTGTTTAAGAGGATGCTTCTAAACACTGCAAGAGCAGCTGGTCATGTGCAAGAGAAACAGTGCTGCCTATTCTGGTGGTAATACAAGGGCAGGTATCTAATCACCTGTGATATGGAAGGCAAACAGTGAAAAAGAACTAGGTGAATCTCAGAGATTGCATCCTTGGTGGGAGGGCAAAGGCCTGTGAAGTTTTATTGTTTTGGATGTTGTTTACCTATGAAACACTTTGATATTCTAAAATGGAACAGCCTATAGATGAAGACAAAAAGTGACGGCAGTCTATGGTTCACATGCATATTTCCAGATGGTTTGAAAACATTTTTATTTGTGTAATGTTTATTTGAACACCAGTCTCTACTTAGCAATGCATGTTAATTTTTTTAAAAAAAGAGAGAATTCAACATATTTTATTTGAATTAGCAATTCTGTGTTATAAAGCTTCTAGTTGGTTGGCTGTGGGTCACGTGTTCCTTTGAGAGCTAAATGTCAGTACAGTTTTGCCCCAGATAATTCAAATGAATGTAAGCAGTGTCTGAGATCTTGATGGTAACACATTCAGATCTCAGTGGTGATGGAACAGAAAGAAACAGCTTCTAAATCTAGGTACTAGGTTGCTTAGCATAAAGTTACTTATTGCTCAAGATGGATTATTGGTTGAATTTGGCATAGATAGACAAGGTTTTATAAATCCTGATATTTAATCCATCCTGAATTAATGGAGGTGATTAATCAGAACCTTTCCTTCTTCTTTTCATTGAGAAATTGGAAAGGTTTGAAAAACAGATTGTTTTCTGTGTCCCTCTACCCCATCGATGTGTTGCAGTTCCTTCTTTTTCCCTCCCTACAAGGACATAGGTGTCTCACTCAACGTGTGTATGTTCACCACATACACACCGTATGTGCTGCTCCTTTTGTATCACAGCTCCTATTCCGTTCCTTCCCAGTAGGCATCTGCTCTGGGGTTTGCGTTGAAGTACCGTCAGAGAAGGAAGCCGTGCAGGGTTCACGCATGAAGCTGATGTGCATCTCCTGCATGAAGCGAGAAGAGGTGTCTGCCACCACAGTGGTGAGATGGTATTACAAGGCTGAAGGAGGCCAGGATGTGCCAGTAAGTGACATACTGTCCTAAAAGTTGGCACCCTTTCTCCAGGGCTGGGTTTTCATTGTCTTCCTTCAGCAGTACTGGAAGGGCACGATTGCAGCATTCCATGTCAAGATCGGCTGTGGCCATGTGGAGATTAAAGAGTCATCTACACATGTCTTTTATGAATATAGTCTCAACAGAAGAGTATGATAGACTTCATGGTCCCCTGTAATTCATACATATGGGTTCTTGTGTCTGTGTGTAGAAGTGTACGACATCCCAGATACATAATACACACACTCAGCCATCATATCTCAGTCCCTTTTGGTCTGTATCTATTGCCAAGTATATATCTATCAATCCCAGGGTCTTTGACCAAGTTCCTTTTTTCTGTTGTGAGAGTTCATAAAAAGGCGTTATTAGTGTAACTGGCTATATTTTCTTAAATATGTATATAGCTAAATGATTATGTTTTATTATTCCATTGTCATCACTGCATTCTTTTAACTTGAGTGTGTGGCTGTACAATAATAACAATAAAGTAAAGTAACATATTAGGTGAACTGAGTTAGAGGGATGCAAAATGAAAAAAAAGAAAATGGCTTTGGAAATGGGTTAGATCATGCTCTTTCATGGTTGAGAAGGGGAGAATTTGAAGAAAGAAAAGGGAACGCTGGCTTAATGGTTAGCTATTCTGCAGCCTACTTTAAACAAATTGTTATAATTTTCATTCTAGTGGCTGGAGCCCAGTCAACAAACATGTTGCAAAGATTAAAACCCTTCTGAGTCCTCACAATTACCTGTAAGATCACAAAAAGTTGCTGGGCCAATCCAAGATGAATGTGTCTGTGGTTTTAAGTGGTCTCACTGCACAAATACCAAGAGTCACATAAGAAAAACCCACAAAGGGAGCTGTGTGGTCCTTACACAATAAAAATGCAGGAAAATGTAATACGTTTGTTAGACCACTAAAAAAATAAATAAACAGAAACTTTCATGGAATGAAATCCACTTCATCAGGCATGCATCAGCATCTTGCAGACATAAAACATAATGGAATGTCCCCATGAGTCTGCCAGTAAGCATCTTAAGAGAAAGAGGGGGAGAGTAGTGCCAGGTTAATAGGTTGGCACATCAGAAATGGTGCCCCTGTTCTCTACCAAACTGCACATAGCCTAGTTAGAGCAATTTTCTTGAACAGTACAATTTTGATCCTTAATGTGAAGCAGAAATTATTGGAAGATGCTATGGATGGCTGGGAATCACTGCTTTCTTCCCTTTTCTGCTCTTTGTAGATCTACGAGTATAACAATGAGAAACGGGAGCTTGACAGTCGTTTCCGTGGTCGGCTGCAGTGGAATGGGAGTGCAGACATGCAGGATGTCTCTATCTCTGTGCTCAACATCAATCTGAATGATTCAGGGACTTATACCTGTAATGTCACCCGAGAATTCAACTTTGAGTCCCATCGGCCGATGTTTACGAGAACTACACTGATTCATCTCACTGTAGTGGAAAAGGGTATGAAAGATTAAAGAGGACAGGGCAGTAAGACAGTTGATTTTGCCAGTGGTTGGGTCTTTTACAATTGAACCAAATGATAACACAGCTGTCAGTGTATTTTTTGTGGGAGGAAGGGAGGGACGGCCTATCTTGAATTCAATCTATTTCTCTTACAGTTGATGTTCTTATGCAAGCTTGCATAAAAATATTTAACTAGAAACTTAGGAAGCCTGACAAGTTGGTCCTGAGACACTCACCAGCTGAAATCAGTATTAAGTTGCAATTACAGTAGACCCATTGAATCAGTAGTGGCTGGATAGGTCAAAATGTCTTGAAGTTCCATTGATTCAGTGGGTCCCTACTCTCATTTCATCTTAATACTGGATTTCAGCCAATACGTGGTACTTGTGTAACAATGTTGCCAGACAACTCCTCATCTACACTGTCTATTACATAGCTGGGAATGAAAATTGTTTATGATCCAGAGCAGAGTGCCATATTAAAACTCTGAAAGGTCTGGTGTGAGTCAAGATAGTTACGTAGGTTCAGGCCAGGGTTGCTTTACCTCTAATAATGCCAATACGTCTGCAAAATCTGTTCTCTCCCACGCTTGAATAATTATAGATTCCTTTGCAGTTTTCACAATGTTTACTGCAAAGTACAGTATCAACAAAAGTGGGCTTATCAGGGAGATTACCAGCAGAGTATTTTGCAGTGGTTTGCAGAAAGCATAATGACTTCACTAGCAGCCGAGTTGCTTGATTGTTGAGCTTTGTCCTGTCGCATTTCCTCCCTTTCATGGGGTCTGTGTTGTTCTTTCCCTCCTCCCCCCCTCCACACAGCTGTATATTCCTTTCCTCTCTGGGTTCTGTTCCTCTGTAATCTTTCCTTGATAAAGATCCCTCCCTGTGTTGGTAGTTCTCTTTCCTTGTCTTCAGCCCAATATAGGACATCTGCAAATGGGGAAAATAAAAGAACAGGGAATAGATATGGCTTTCTGTCCCAAGTGCAGTATGTCACCTGAGCAACACTGCATGTTAGAGCACCTGCTACACATAGAGGAGGCACCTACAGTGCATGTCTCAATGCCAGAGATTTAGCAGATGGGGTGGGTAGCAGTATGTTGTTTAGTCATTAAGTCATGTCTGACTCTTTGTCACCCCATGGACCAGAGCACGCCTGGCCCCTCCTGTCTTCCACTGCCTCCTGGAGTTGGGTCAAAATCATGTTGGTAGTTTCGATAACACTGTCCAGGCATCTCATCCTCTGTCATCCCCTTCTCCTCTTGCCTTCACACTTTCCCAGCATCAGGGTCTTTTCTCATGAGATGGCCAAGGTATTGGAGCCTCACCTTCAGGATCTGTCCTTCCAGTGAGCACTCGGGGTTGATTTCCTTCAGAATGGATAGGTGGATGGCAGTATAACATTATTTAAAGGAAAGTAACACCTCCATTGTCCGATTCAAATCAAAGAGGCAATCTGAGACAGCAGATGTTCCCTGATATAGCTACACTGGATTCTTGCAAATCCAAAGGTTCAAATGCCCAGAGGTTGGAGTGTTATGGGACCCTTGTATTGTACTCAGTAATCAACTGGTGAATGGGAGCATGTAGCTTCTAGATTTTAAGATCTGCATAGTCTTCCAGTTGGTGGAGTTTGTTCTCTAAGAACACCTGGATACAGAAGTGCCTCCTGGCAGAATCAGAGCTTAAAATCCAAGTGTGAAAAGCTGGCAGCTTCTTTCCCCATGAGAGTACTTCAGAAAGCCACAGAAGCTTCCTAGTGCTCCAGAAGCTGGCAGCTTCTTCCTCCATGAGAGTACTTCAGTGGAGGCAGATTGAGAAAGCCACAGAAGCTTCCTAGTGCTCCAAGTCCTGCCTGTAAATTGTGGTGCCACGGGCTAGCCTTAATGAGGTGGTTTGGCTGACAAGGATCTTGGAATGTATCAACCACCTTTTCATTTCTTCTCCTCTGTGCAGCTGGCGAAGACTTCACATCTGTCATCTCTGAAATAATGATGTATATTCTCTTGGTCTTCCTCACTTTGTGGCTGCTGATAGAAATGGTTTACTGCTACAGGAAAGTCTCTAAAGCAGAGGAGGCTGCCCAGGAAAATGCGTAAGTTTGTAAAATCGAAGGAACTTTGGAGTTGGATGACTGGATGAGGAGAAGCAGAAAAGAAACATGGGAAAATATGCTACAGGTCAGTTTCTGACTGCAGATGTGGTCGTCATGCAAGCCTGGAGCTGTTGGTCTCCAGGGCCTTCTCTGTTCACTTCCATGGAAGTTCATATCAGCCCATTCAAGGGCCTCTGTATGAAGTAGCTCCTGGTAAGTTGGGGGAGGCACATCTCCTCCCTAATGCCTAATTTCTGCTGAGTGCAGAGCTGCATCTGCTCTTAGCTTTGTGATAAGTGTGCAGTGAAATAAGCTGTGGATTGCATCACTAGAAAGTTCTACATGGAAAAGAAGCAGTCAAATTTGCAGACTAACAGAGTTTTGCATGACCCAGTTTGGTTTTGCAAACTGCTGGAGTTTTTGGACATCTGGTAACTTTTGTGGAGGGAGAGGGCATACTGATAAGCTTGTGCTCACTGCAGGAATGTAGCCCCAGGACCTTTTCCAAATTGGAGTTCAGCCCTGTCCTGGAAAATGTATTGGAGTACATGCAGAGGTTTTTCTACAAGAACAATGCACATTTGATGCTGCCTTGTACTGGACTGGACTCCTTGTTCATGTTTGCCTGTGTTACACCTCTGTACGGCTTGACTGGCAGGAGCTCTGTCCTCTTTGATCCCTCCTTTCAGCTAGAATGCCAAGGATCAAACCTTGGATCTTCTGGTTAGAAAGGCCATGCTCTTCCACAGAGTCAAACCTCCCCCACCCCACCCCCAGTAAGGCACTTAAAGGTCAAGTGTGTGCCAGTTTGGGTCTTTTTTTCAAATAACATTTTAACCTTTATTTACAGGACTGACTACCTCGCCATCCCTTCAGAAAACAAGGAGAACTGTGCTGTGCCTGTGGAGGAGTAGAAGACGGAGTTGCACAAAAGAGACAAACTTGTAATAAAGGTGAGACAGCTCTGTGCACAAGCACTTAATCGGCTGGCTGGCAATTCAAGTCATACAGTATGTCCACGAAGCAGGATTCTTCGAGAATGCACCAAAAGATATGGCTCAACTTTCTCAAGGTTCTTGAAAAGATGATTTGTAGACAGAGCAGAAAATGGCTACTGGTAGGTTTCAAAATCCATATAAGGTTGACACTTTTATTAGGCTAACCAAAAAGGCAGAAAAGATTGCACAAGATGTTGAGAGTCTTTCTCCACAACTAGATTTGTGGATGAATTTTTCACTTCCATATGCCTCTGGTCTGAAGAAGCCCTACAGGTCTTATGGAACAGACTGGAATTACCTAGAGAGAGAGACCTGTCTCTTGAGGGTTTTTCCTTATATTCCAGGATGCTGGGTGTTGGAATTCTATTCTATTTTGGAACTAAAGGAACAGACCTTGGTACGTACCCTTCAGTAAATGAGCTTTTGCCCTCATTTCCCCTTCTGACTTGGGGATGGCAGATACACATGTCAACATAAAGAAATGCATCGTTCATGCAGGCTGCATTGGTGAGCTTGCACAGAGAATAAAGGGGACGAGGATGCTTGCTCAGGGTAGACAACATGTATCTTTGGACACAGTTCTCACAGAATCCAGAGAACCTCTTAGCAGTCAGGGAGCATTAACCAGTAATATTTCCTTGTCTCCACCTATTGACACCTATGCACTTTGCCTCCACCTTCGCAATATCGTTCCTTAGGGCAGTCACTGAGCCATCCATGATTGTTTGGCAAGAATAGATATTCTGGCAATTATCATGGTAATGGTTATTAGAAACCTCATGTAGTTTTATGATGAAACATGATGTATTTGACATTAGCAGGATTAAATAGGAAGATAAATATAAAGTATTTTATAATATTAAATATTATGAATATTTTCAGTACTTCCTATTTCCTAAACAAATCCCCCAAGTTTGGGGAATATGAAAAGCTCTGTATCTTGAGAAAAACAGCATGTGCTGAATATAGGGCTAAAATTAGAGGCTGCTCCCAAGCAACATCATCCACCCAAGTCTGTATTTCATATTGAGTTTGGCTACCTGGTAGAACACTACATGGTAGTCACCTACACTAGATCGTGCATCTTCTGCCTGTATCAGTTATGAACCTGTGTATATGAAAATGAAGCTAATAGAAAAGATCCTCTACGAGCAAATAATGATGGATACACGCATGCTTCTCTTTGAAAGAAAGCCTGGCATTCTTCGTGTTGACTTCTATCCATGAGAACTGTTTAAACGATGCTCAAAAACAAGATTTGGGAAAATGTTGAAAAAAAATGAATGACCTCAGTACCTGAAGATGTGGATTATATGCATAAAGGCATGTGTTGGTTGCTGCCCTTAATAATGCATTACGTGCATACAGTTTCTATCCATATTTTGAAAACTAGGTGATGCATCACACCGGGCCTCTTCTGTTTTCAGGGACTCTACCGATGCAAGGACTCGGTCACTGAAGCCAGGTTTGTGAGCGCCAAATACCGAGAGGGGAAACCAGAAGATGAGACAGTGTGCGTTCGTTTCCATTTGCCTGGAGCCTTGTACAGCTTTGACTTCATGACTCCCATCTCGAGCTCTCAGCCCATTTGCTAAAGACTCTCCTTTGAGGCATGTCAAGTCAAAGGGGTAGGCACAGTCACCATCACCTCCATAGATCTGTAAATACTAACTCATCTCTCACTAACATGGAATTTCCTTTGGGTGCTTTCAGAGATCACAGCTGCTGTGGGACAATGCACGTGGCACATTTCCTTTATCCATCACTTTTTTTCGGTGTGAATTGGATTATAATATTACCGCCATGATGTCGCAGACGGCCAGTAATATGGCTGTGTCTGGGCTGCTACTCTTTAGAATAGACAGCTGGAATAGGGTGAAAAATCTAGTTGCCTGTCCTTGGATTGAGGGAGATGCTTGAGGCAACAGGGATATTTCTGGGGTACTTCTGGAGTACAATGTAGTGCCAAACAATATTATAAGTACAGGCTGGTGTCTGTGGTAAGAGTGACATCAGAAAGCATCCTCAGGTTGCATAATATGCTAATTCCACATTGCAATACTCCATGCCCCTTCACAGTGCTTATACCGTGTGAACAGGACAAGAGTCAATTAGCTTAGCTGGGTTGTCAGAGATGTACTGAACTCAAAGAGCAAATGTTTAAAATCATGCCAGCAGGCAACAAAAGCTAATCACTTTCCCAGACATCTGCTTCTGATGCATGTCAGCTTTCTCCATAGCGTCTGGCAGGTTCATAGAAGCGTCCAGGGCTTAAGACCACTCACCTTCTTAAGTGTAGACTTTGAGGCAGGGCAGGTGTCCTTCACTGTATTTCAAAGGTCAAACTAATATGGACAGTTCTAACTTGGCAGAATTGTAGGTAAGTGAAGAAAAATAAGAGTAATTTCAGTAGCTGTATTTCACTGTAGAAAATGGGAATTTGCAGCTACTCATCTCACAGAGCTGTTCTGCTATCAGAGAAAACAAGCCTTCCAGCCACTATGGAACCCCTCCTCTGTCTCCCCATCCCGTCTAGTTTGTTATATGGCTAAAATTCAGACCCAGTGCGGGCTTCTGTAATAGTAGAAAAGTGTTAAGAAAGTTCAAAGACAGTTCAAGAGCAATAGAATTACTCTTACACAAATGAATCTAAACTGCTGATTGTAACTGACATATCACATGTTTGATAGGTGCAGACAGCAATGATTACTCCTGAGTAATCATTTCTCCTAAATATAAATAAATAAAGGGCTGTGCTATAGTTAAAGGCCGGAGTCCAAAACGAAGCTTAGTTTCAGATGAAACAAATCAGGGTTTGTCATCACAGGAATGAGCAGCAGCAAAGCTCCCTCCCTCCCTCCCCTTTTTGTGCATGAGGAGAGAGAAACTTGCATTTCTGCTTTGCAGAAACCAAAGTGTGCCCTCTATCATCCTGCACCATGCTTTTATCCTGGGGTGGACTCCAGTCTGAATAAACTGTATTTTGGATCCAGGGCTACTCATGAATAGTGCAGACCAATTGAAAACAATAGCACAAGTCACATGATCCTGTTGACTGCAATGAGATTATCGTACTATGTGTGACTGGACTCTGGAGCTATCCTGCAGTTTGTCGAGCATGGGCCAAACTGGCCAATTGCCGTTTCTCACTGAATAGAAGCAATTGACTGTTATTAATAATTTGCTGTCAAGTTGATTCCAGGGTTATTTTACATTTAGGGTACGAAGAACTTGTTTACCATTACCTTGTTCTGTGTTTCTCTGAGATTGAACTGCTTGCCCAGCTGGCTCTTCTCAATGGGGGCTCAAACGTCTAACCTCTGGCTCTGTGGCAAAGTACACAACTCACTGAGCTTCCCAGCCACCTAGTTGCCTGTTAGGTAACATCTCCAGTTATCACAGGTGGTGCGAGAGCCTACACTGCACATTTTATGGCCCTCTTATTGTTTTGTCACAGAAGAAATGCCAAAAGGTAGTGTAATTTCACATGATAGTGGGTAATAAAAAGCAATTGAAGGAAAATTTGTTAGGGAAGACCATGGAACACCCCTTTCCATAATGGTAAACCACTCAGAATTACTTTTAGAAGATGTTTTGTATATCATTTGTAGAAATGTTTTATACGAGAGATTACAAAGACCACAGCTCTCCAGATACTGATTGGCTGATACTGATTCCTAGTCAAGAAGAAAGGTAAGCATGGAGCCCCTTGGATGGCATGCTACTAAAGCAAGTAGTAATGATAGAATGATAAGGACTTAAAAGTGATTTTTTTAAAAAAAAATGTGTGTGACTATTTAACAAAGCCCTGACTGAGCTTTGCTCACATCTCCGGTAGGCAGAAAGCTTTGGTTGAAATTAGTCTGAAGCAAATCAAGACAGTGATACTGGGGAATATTTCCTTGTAGCACGGCATTGCCATTGTCATAATTCCTATGCTCTTGACTAATTTGCAACCACTAGAAGTGCTTTTTGGCTGCAAAAAGGAGAAAACCACTCCGACTCATGTGGGCCGACAGCTGCACAGGGAATGCCACTGCTTCCATGCAGTTTACAGAGCTCATGTCCAGCTGCCAGTGCTCTTTGGTGCATCCTTTCCAAATAAAAACCAGGAATAATATTTAGCACACACTTAAGTGTTCAGAGTATTTCATGCATTAAGTCAGTGCTTCTTGGAGCAGAGGTGGAGAATGTGAGGCTCTTTTGGATGTTGTTACAGTGGAACTTCCATCATCCCTAGCCAACTGGGAAGGACTTTGAAAAATGCTCTCTCAAATTATCTGGAGGACCCTGGCCTTAGAGCAATCATGTAAGATAGGCTTTTGCTGTTATTCCTGGGGCTGTCCCTAATGTATTATTTAACAAAATTTCAGTTAAAGTTTCGTGTTCCATCCTCACTTTCCTTAATATATCAGGTTAGGCAAATGTATTAACATTCTGACCAGAAGCTGCATCTATCACCACAGGTAAGATGAGTTAGGATCTAGCTTTCATGGTTCAATAAAAACAATGATACAGATAAGCCCCCTATTGTTGTTGTCTTTTTCCTTCACCTTAACTGCTTCCACAAGAGTTATAAAGGAAGCTTCCTTGTGTCTGTCTTTTAACCAAGTAGTTAGTGTAGGATTTCTGTCTCGCTGGGCTGGGTGCCTTATGCAGATACGCAGCGTAAACCTTGTATAATGTCTTGTATCTCAAAAGGCAGATTGTGTCTTTTGTCTGTATTAACTGGAAAAGGCACAGGAGACACAGAAAGAGACACTGAAATAAAAAAAAACACCACACAGAACCCACCTGATGCTGTCTTTTGTTCATTATATTTTATTCATACCTTTTATTCCATTGTTCTAGCTACTTTACATTAAGATTTTGGCTTTGTAGCCTTTGTAACTCCTAGGTTCTAGCAGTCAAGTTTGTGGTTTTGATTTCTTTAAATCAATTTGTATTGAACTTTGCGCACAGCGCAAAGTTTATTACAGGTACAGAATCAGACACACAGACAGCCAGACAACTCCTACAAATACAATCAGGGGGTCCTTCGGTACGTGGCCTAGCTCGAGTTACATCTTACTGTTAAGAGACCATTCCAATTGTAAGAAATATTTGGGGGAAATGTACTACTTGGCCACTATTCTGTTCCCTTTATGTCTCCCTTCAACCCTTCTCCTTTTAAGGGTGCTGAAATGTAGCTGGGGAAACTGCACATCTGATTAAAGTTGTCAGGATCTAAGCCAGATGTTCATGCTGGGGGGGGTAAAAGGAGGAGGGGGAAGAGGTGGCTTAGAAGCCCTCCTCATTGTTATATTGGAAATGGTCAGGAAGCAGCCACTTGTGTCTTCCATGTCGCCAGACAAGGGAACAGCCCACAGACGTCACTCTCTGAGATTCCAGCACTGCTGGGGAGTGGGAACAAATGGGAAAGTCACCCAAGCTGGTTGAACCCCGAGCTATCATATGCCAGCACCAGCGCCACCCAAAAATCCCACACAAAGCTGAGGTTGGGAAGCCAGTCCTTCAAACCTTAGCAACAAAACTGACCCGAAAGTAAAGTGAGGTAATTAAAAAAAATAAATGGCCAGAGAGGGCAGATCCTCCAGGCCATGTGCAAACATAATTCCTTCAGAAGAAAGAAGGGAGAGTTTGTTTTCCCCACCACAGCACATATCACATTCATTCCAGAACATGCCGCAGCCATGGGAAGGATAGAGGAAGCATGGGGTGGCACTGGGTCGGCCCAGAGAGGGCACCAAGAGCCTAGATTTCCGAAGGAAAGGGAGAATGCTTTGTGCCACACCCTAGGCGGCGAGGAGGCAGCAGAGCAGAAGAATGCATCAAAAGAGGAGAGGCCATTACAGCTTGCTTCTTTCTAGGGAGCAGTGGTGAGGGTGCATGGTAACACAAGCTGGTAATGGTGAAATCAGCAATCTCTCTCAAAAAAGAAGGTGTGTGATTGCATCTCAGCAAGTCAGGGTGAGAATTAACACTCCAGTTTGGCTGATCTGCACATCTAGAGGGAAGAAAGGGCAGTGTTATGGCACAAAAATTGATAACAGTAAGCATGAGAGGCTGATGGTGGAGCATGAGAAAAGATGGAGGCCAGGAAGAAACATGTCCCTCTCATAGAGGAGAAGGGGATCACCCTGCTTATTTTGCAAACTGCAGGTAGGGAGTTGGCATTTCTCCAAACCCAAGAAGTTTTAGGGCTTCCAGGAAAATTCCTTAGTATATTTAAGCTAGTCCAGATGATAAAAACGAGAAGCCAAAAGCAGACACAAGAAATAATCACTGATCCAAGTCCCAAACGTAATCACTAACTGTGTTTGCCGTTTTCCTGTCCAGTTACGATTAAATCGTTCAGAACAGATGACATTTTTATATCAGCTTGGGCCATAAGAATGCAGGTAGTGGTTAGGAATGAAACAGATCCCTCCTCAAGGGCAAACATGCCAGAAGCAGGAGCATCAGAGGCTGCTCTCTCACTGCATCTTCCTCTCCTCAAGAGCAAGCTAGCAAGCAGCAAAAAAATGACTACCAGCCTACTATACGCCTAAGCAAGATGGACAGCCGGCATATCTGACCTTGTGACAACCATAACCAAATTAGGTACAACGCATGGGGTAGGGGGGAGTTGAAAAGACATTTAAAATCTGTTAAAATTAATAAAATGTAAAGTTTCCTGGCTTAAGATTGTGCCTTTAAGCACAAGAGACTAAAACGTTGGCTGTGCCTCAATGAAATGTAGATCATGGGAATGTTGAAGTGATACGTTTTAAATCTCAACATATCTTCCCAAACAGCAGTTTCCAAGAAAGATGCAGAAGCATTTCCTCCACTTGCAAGAGCATCCACATTCATTTCAGTCATGGAAAGGATGGAACACAGATCTGTATCTGTTCCCTGAAATCTGTTTCCTTTGCATTGACTCATGGGTGATTTCAGGACCTGCTGACAATAGCCTCAAGTTAGCTGCCTGTATAATAAGTAATAGGGAAAGGTTATTCTCTCATGGGAGAATTTCCATGGGATAAAACATGAAGGCTCTCCTAAACAGGAAAGAGGATGACATTCCTCATCATCCCTGCAGTAAATTCACTTTGTCCACTTTTAATCCAAGGGATACAGACAGAGTTCACATTGGGGGAGTGGGGTCTGGGGAAAAAGGAGTATCCCTTTTAAAGTGTGTTGGGAGGAAGGATACACCCCCTCCCATGTCAGCATGCAAATCTTATCAGCCCCGGGTAGCATAGCTAAGGCGGAAGGAGAGTTGCCAGTTGGCAAAATCTGGGGACCCACCTGTTTCCCATCCACAGGCTAAGAGACGAAGGCCTCTTGTTCGGGCCTTCCAGCCTCTTGTCTCCTCCACACCTTTGGAGGGAAGCCCCTCGGCCTGCCCCCTTCCACCGTGGCTCTACTCACGCAAGTACCAAGAGGTCGGAGGAGAAGGGCCCTCCTCGTGTGAGCAAGAGCCAGGGTTTCCCAGGGCCCTTTGCTCACATGCAGAGCCCCTACTCACAGGAACCTCTTATCTTCAGACTCCCCATTGCTCCCATAAGCAAAGCGGGGCAGGTGGGGCCAGCTGTGCATCCCTCTCAGTGTGTGTTGACACTTGAGGAGGGCTCCTGCTCCCTCACAAAGCGGCCAGCCATCCGGTACTCAGTTGCGGAAAATACACATCGTAGATCTCAGAATCAAGTGGGGTGTGAAGGAAAAAATATTTTCAGTCCGGCCAGCTACCCACCAGAACATCTCCCTGACAAATATATTTCTTTTTTTTTACTCAACAATTGCAATGAATCTGTTGGTGCTACAGAAGATGAAGGTCTTCTCCCTCTCCCTTCCCACTCTTATTGAGACAGTTCATCATCTCCTGTCAGGAACCTCAGCATGCACTCTGGGCGACAGCTTTGAGTGTCCTCTGCACCTTTACAGCCTTCACAGAACTGCTCAGTCAGGAAGACAATCTTCACCTTCACCCTTCAAGCAGGACTATCAAAACACTTCTGTGGAGCCTATATAAGCAATGGAATCTCCCTAAAGATCACCAACAAATCATCAGCATCATACAAGGATAGATATTTAAATATCAATACAATAAAATATGTAAGTACCTCGCGGCCTGGCTTAGGCTCCCAAACTTATGGTCAGCGAAAAATCCCAGCCCCATCAAATTGCTTAGTTAATTCACTTAATTCCAGAGGTAACTGCTCTAGTGTTCCAAATATGAGAGAGGGGTCAGGAAGCCATTCCACCATTCACCCTGCCTCACCCAAGATTTTTACACAGCCTTCCAAGGGAGCTCAGCAATCTTCAGAAGCTTCCAACATGATCTTCTCTACTCCTGCTGCAAGGACGAACCTCTGCTCTTCCATGTGGATAAGTTTATTTGCTTCAGGTCCTTGGCAGGAGCCCCAGAGGACAAACCTTCCTCAACAGTTCTCCTGGCACTGGCTCAGCTAAAACCGTTAGCTTCATGAAGATGAGATTGTAGACTCCATGCCTACCGTCTCCAACTGCCTCTATCCCCCAAACGGCAAGCTAAACCAGTGAAGGAAAAGACTGCATCTCTCAGGCCGTGGGATAAACCCTGCTATTCTCACCACCATAATGAACAGATCAACTCTTGTGAGAAGATGCAAACTGTATCTTAGAGAGTCCTGACCTTGTGCAGTGGATTGTATCTACAACTTGGTACGTGGCCTCAGGCTCAAGTGTTGCCCCCTAAGCCTCATGGTACAAGACGTATCAGTAGTTGCACAATATGACACCATTTGTTTTGCAACATCTGATAAATACTCTGGGCAGTCAACAATGTCAGAATCAGGCCTGGAAGAGGAAGTGTCCCTATTTTTATAAGATTCCGGCTAAAAATAATGAAAAAAAAATACTAATAAAAATAGCATAGACATTTGAACTATGTCAAATTGTGCTGGCTTTTGAGCCAGTTGTGTCCACAACACTTTAAAAACCTGATATTTTGCCCATATTTTTTTTTTTTTGTCACAGCTCAGTGGCTACCAAATGCCTCCAACTCAGTTGTTTCTGGAATTATTTGGGTTTTTCTTCCGGTCACCAGTGCTGATCTTGTTTAAAGTACCAAAATGCATTAGAGGGTTTTACTCAGTCGCTAATGGTTACAATGAGTGAGCCGCTAGCGGACTTCCCACTCTAACTCTGACATTGCCTCCTCCTTTTTCTTACTGGCTCTACCTTTTCCAAAAGCCAAACATGCGCGTGGAAAGCAGCCAGAGGCTCGAATGGATCTATAGCTGCTTAGGAAATAGAACAGTCTGAATTTAATAAGCAACTGCTCTTCGTTCTGCATTGCCTTCAGATGTAGTGATGTATGAGGTGCAACTAAGTTTGTTACGAAGGGCCTTGTGAACTGGGCAAGGGCTTAAGTGACAGATGGAGGTGCTTTGATCCCTTCTGTTGAGCTTTGAGGCTTGTTCCCAGGCTAGAATTAATTTGCTTTTGGCAAAGAAGCATCTGGAAATGTTTAACAGGTAATAATAAGAGATGTTCCATTAATCTAAACCTTGGTCTGGACTCTTCTTCTAATAAGAATCTATTGTGTGTACAGATAGCCCTTTTAGTGAAGCAGCAGTTTCCTGCAGTACATAAGGAGGAACATGCAAACACACAACCACCAGAAGGTATCTGACACCAAAGAGGGATGCCGTCAAGCGTAAACAACGGGGTCAGGGAATTAGAGTTGTCTAACTCTTCCAACATGAAGCAAGTTAGCACCAAGGACAGACCTGAACACGGGGCTTTTCGACAAACAATCCCTTCCTACCTATCTCATCCAACTCCTTCTGTGACACAAAGATGCCACTGCTCTCTGCTGAGATTGCAGAGAGAGTGGGAGAAGCATGCACCGAGTGAGCATGCCAAGAAAAGGATAACCCTGTAAGAGGATGCCATGATTAAAAAAATACTCTGTGCTACAGTGAACTTAGAGCTACTCCTGCCAACAACAATCCTGTAAAGAAAGTGATGTCAACAGCAAGCCAAATCCTCGGCCTCAGCAGCTATCCTGAGTGGCGGGACTGACGGGGTCTCTTCGAAACGGACGTGACCCTTCCACTCAGCAAGGGGGGACAGAGGGGGCTTCGCTGACTCTGACTTCTTCCCCTTGGGTGAAAAAAAAAGGCCCCACCCCAAACAGAGACAGAAAGACAGACGGACAGACGGACAAAACATAGAGCCAGGAAAATACCAAGAGAGGTGTGAGGACCCAGAAGAGCACAGGCTACATTTTCCCACAATGCCTCAGTGCTAGGAGAGCATAACCTCGCCACTTCCAGGCCCTGCCCCGGAGACACTCCATTTCATCCAGTGCTGGAGGTCGGTCGGTCGGCACCACTCTTTCTTCTCAAGCCATAGGCTTTTTTTCTCTTTTAAAATCTGTATATAATATA